ACTGCCACTGAATTCCGAAAGATCGAGGATGTACTATGAATAATGCTGCAGCGAGTAAAGTGGCTTGCTTTCTGAATTATGATGACCGAACTGTCGTCTTTGTCGCCGACAGCTTAACCGACACTTTTGATGTATTACATTGCTTTGCGTACATATATATACGGAATAAACGTATGTATACATCAAAAAAGTTTTATTCTAGGGTACAGTAACGATATTTAAAATCATGAAACGTATAAATGTACGAGCATAAATATTTTTACATGCATTTGCACACGCATATACAATATGAAAAATGTAATTGTAGCGTCAATCAAGTTGGTGTTCTGTAGAACTGCTATTACGATGATACTCGCTAAACGAATTTTAGTGCTATTGGTATGCAATATACGTACATTTAAGGCATCTTCCATTAAGCCCGCAGTGACGAGAAAGTGCCATCTCCGAAGTGAGACCGAGCTACACAAGAGTGTACACGTTTCGTTCACGGAAATTACTTTTGTCGCGTTCGGATTGTCACATAGACGCGTATGCACGCAAACAAAGAATTGCGAGCAACAAAAGTCGAGCCACAACGTGAAAAGTTAAAAGAATCGTTTTACATTTGCTACGCACACCCTCTTACGAATCATTATTTTTCGAGCTATAAAAGTACGCTTTGCCATTAATATTGCGCGCTTGTACTCGCTGTACCCGAGTGCAAAAAATACAATGATTCTAAACTATTTATTTGAACAGTGTGCATTGTGTATAAATATCAAATTTTTTTCTAAACAAATGTTTTCAGCGAGATGTTTACGTAAATATTTAGGTATACAGATATATCCCACAATATAAAAACAGAGCTTGCGTGCATACAAGTGTAAATACTCTATTTCGGTCGCGAGTATGGGTGAGCGTGTGAGCTTCTAATTGTGTGATGCTTTTGCACAAAACCACAAGTATGCGTGCATATGTGTGTGTGTGTGCGTGTGTGTGCGCGTGCGCGCGCATAATAAAAGCAGGTGTGCGCATGCATTTGTACAAAACGCCAAAAGCTCCACGAAGCGCGAATACACTTTTACCTCGTTCTCCCTCTCACAAGTCGTATGTTAATGTGTTTCAAGCGCTCGAACTATGCGACAACAATTTATAATTTCACTAGTTTAGTAAGAGAAGGAAAAGGGAGAAAGAGAGAGAAACTGTTCTCTCTAGCTCTGACTTTATTACTTCGGGCATCCTTGATAATTTTGCATGGCTGCCTCCTGGAGCTTGCTTTGTTCCCAGCGTTGGTCTGCAGAACAGTACTGCCGAGGCTGCTTTTTTGTCGCGCGCGCGCGTGAAACGCCTAAAATCCTAACGTAGCGTGACGCACTTTCTCTTTTTTCTCTAAACTTCCACACGCATCATAATTATTATTATAGCTATTTTGGTTTTATTTTTGTGTCAAAGGCTACAAAGACAACGTCGAAATAAAAAACGTTTAAATTGCTTTAATGCCAAGCGTAACTCGGAAGCACATGCGCGCGCCTACGGATTCAAATGATTTATTAAATAACATCCATTTTATCCACTTGTTAGCGAAAAAAATAAGATTGCGAAAAACAAAAGTGGCAAGAGAATTTGAGGCACATAAACAGTCGTTATAAGTAATAATAATAAGCTCATAGTAATACTTGAAAGATTAGGACCACTGATGGAGGAACGATCCTAGAAAGCGAGTTGATAAATAAAACCGAAACTTCGTGAATGATATCCAACTATTTTTAAGACCAATCTAAAATGTATGAAGGGAAGCGAGCACGAGCGGTTGGAAAAAAAATTACTCGCAATTTAAACTTGGTGTAAGTAATAAAAATCCCCTTTATCAGGGCAATAAACGCTCGCTCGGTGCGAAGAGCAAAAATGCTTCACATCTGTTGAAAAAAGTTTCCTCGCACGCATGTGCGAGCCTTCTAGGATTAATAAAAATTATTCATCTCGAGCCGTTGAATATATGAAACAAACGCGTGATAATGAAAAATCTACTAGTTTCGAAACAAATTAAATATTTTTATTTCCTTTCGCCATACTCACTGAAGAATGTCTGTATTGCATAAAAAACAAATTATGCGTATGAATAACGTATCAGTGTCAAATATGCAGTTGACCTTTCTCGTTATTTCATTTTACGGTCGAGCATCCTTGAACTACTCGACATAAGTTTGGCTTTTCTATGCTACGCTTACAAGTGCTAGGAACACTAAGAATAAATAATATACAATACACGCCAGTGAGATTGATGTGTTATATATAGTGGGGTGTTCCTTTTTAGCCAAATTACATGGAACCCCGCTCCTAAGTATTTTCAATTTATTTGAAGCAAAAAATGAAAATTCTTGTAGTTAATCCTATGTATATGTTCAATAAAGCATTCACTAGCCCAGGACATTATTTTCAAAACTTAAAAATGTTCTGAAAAATATTGAAATATTTACTCATATTATTCGATTAATTTAAATATTCTTTTGTTTTTCATACAACTAAAAATCATTTTCCGAAATATACAAGTCTAAAACAAACCAATTTTCTATTTTACAATTTTTGCGAAAAACGAAGAAGAACCGAAAATTCGTAGACTCTTATCCACTCTAACCTAAAAGACGTTAATTTCCGGCTTTAGTAAGAAAAAATAGTATTATCAAAGAGGGCAGATATGGTTTTTTAGTAAAACGAGGGATTATAGCAAAAGCCGAAGGCTGGTGCTGTAAAGAGTTGCAACAAGGCGCAATGAATAAGTGCCCCCGTTGAAAATTATACTATTCATGCTATTTTTTATTTTTAATTGGCCAATGAATATTTTTATTAAAATTATGTAAAAATAACTATTTACAACAAATTTGATTTTCTCATCAGATTATACGTAAAAAATCATTATTAAAATTAATTTTTTCACAGCTACTCTATAAAAATAGAATAAATTATAAAAAACATGAGAATTCAATTTTGAGCTTTTATATATCGATGGGAAATAGACCTTAAGAGTTTAAATTTTGTAAAGCGTAATTTTTCCATGTTTATTTTAAGAGTGCATAGTTGTTCTGTATTTAGTCGTCTGAATATATTGGACCTTATATATATTTTCTGAGCAATTCTTCCGACACCATTAGATTCATCTGTGCAGTCGAGAAGGTGAGTAGCGTAAAAGGAACACGTCGGTTCATTACCCAATGGCTTGTGATAACTACGTGACGAGATGTACCTTCATCTACTTCTTCGTCAAACTTATCGCGTTCTCTTTTTTTACTTCTTACTTGGCTTGGCTATCTTCAAGGTAAAAGTTGAAAGATCAGACGGGCACATGTATATAGGTAGCTGCTGCGTGCGAAGGAAAAAGATCGGAAGTAACGAGCTTGCGAGCGAGCGAAAGAGGAAGAGAGACTTTGGCGGTCAAAACCGAGAGAAGAATATCCTCGGTAATCTGCGGTGAATACACGGGCAAAGATTTAACCTCTCTCTTCCTTACTCACGAGGAAATTTATATAATTGAATCGTCGTCGGACGAATTAACGAGTTTCTCACGACTGCAGTGCTACGGCTGCTGCTGCTGCTGCTGACTGCTTCTTATTTGCATGAACTTGTGCAGGGATCGACGAGTACTCGTCGCTCGTCATGCATATTCTTAGGAAGGAAGCAGAAGAGAGAAAACTGCTAATCAGAAAGTTTTTCATCTATTATACGAAAGAATCGATAAACGTGCGTATCCATGGCGTTTAAGCAGTTTTATTTAATTCGCGTCAATTGGCATAACTGTAATCAAGAACAGTATTTCATGCAGCTTACAGCTTATTTATTCATACGGGAGTTAGACTCGAGAGAGAAGTCATATTAGTGGCCGAGGCGCATCAACTCATCGTCAATGCATCAAACCTCGCATTGCATTTCATTCTCTCTCGCTGTCGCACGTATTTGCGTACAACAAAGCTCGTATGTGGGGGGTAACAACGCAAAGCGTGGATCGTCGCGGCAGACACATTGCCCCGGAGCCCTTCAACTGTCGCTTCGATATAAGCTCGTCGCGCTGCTGTTGCCGCTCCTGCTCTTGCTAATTAGATAGAGCGTCATTTATAAATTAGCGGGCTTTCGCACCTCAGCTGATTGCGTCAGGCGCTTAGCGCTAAAGCCCTGCAGGCTATTTTTTCTCGACACCCACTGTACAACTTAATATAGTTGTATGTACCCCGGTGCGCGTTTTGGTATTAATGCATAATGTGTGTTGTATATAAATTATACGATGTGCGACGTGTAGAAAAAAAATACTTAATAGCGCTCGTCTATTATCGCTTTCACTGACACTAGCGCATGCCGATAAGACGCGACATTGTGCAGATTCAACAATAGAGCCGGAAAAAAGAAAACACTATTGTCGCGGCTTTCTACGTGACCACATGACAAGGCTTTTACAATTCTCCTTGCCTCTTTTATCCATATTTTTATTTTTTATTTCATTGCTTGCACAGCTCACTTTTATATTTGTACCGATAATTTATCCATCCATGCGTAAATGCGTATTTCCATAATAAAGCTCCATCTTTTTTCACCAGCGCTGCTGCTTTTCGCTCTCTCCGGTGTGGCAAAATTTATACCTAAGTAAAAACAAACACTAGTCCATTCTCTTCTCACGCTATCTTATATCCCCTCGATATACGTGTGCTCGCCATGCCGTGCGTTGCCATTATCCGAAACGTTTCGCGCACTTCCGGCTTTTCGATACGACCCTTTAACGGCTGCTGCGAACACGCGCCAGCCAACCAACCAGCCATATAACCAGTAAGAGAGAGAGAGAGGGAGAGAGAAAACTTTGAGCACTATCGAGAGCTTGTTTCTCTCGTTTTTTCCTTCCAAGTTTTTTCTTACCCCAGCTCACTCTCTTTTTCGCCCACTGTGTCTATTATATACATGTATAACAGGCTACTGAGCAGCATTGAAAAGGCTAGCGCTGAGCTCGCGTGTATATAAAAGGCTATTTTATATATGCTCACCACCAAGAAGAAATAGACCGCAAGCGACGAGCGTCCTGTGATCCGAGCAGCAATGGCCGATCAGAGCGGATATTGTACCGGCCAGTAAAAGAGCCGCCGCAGCTACTTGAAACGGTGTCGATATCCTGCAACAGATGAGGAAAACATCTAACGTCAGACTATTTCATATACGTCCTTTTTTTTGATTTATCGTCGTCAGATATGTGACTCTGGGGCTATTACGCCTGCATTTTTTCTTTTCTTTCTTTGCTTCTGCTTGCAAAATATATTAATACCTCAGCGTTATAATTTATTGCATATTATAGGGTGTAATACTTATGGCAATAGAGGGAGATAGAGAAAAGTAGAAAGAGAAAAATTCTTCGAGCTTAAGCGCGAAGACCGCAAGCTCTGTAGTGTCGTAAACAGGCTATTTTAAGCTTATATACGCGTGTATATATAAAATACTTTGCGCTAATCTAGAGCAGCAACGTTTTTTTTTTTTTTTTTTTAATCTCGTCATATTTTCGAAGACTCGCACAGAGTATAACAAATAAAAATCGTCTCTAGTTTTTTTATTTAAAAAAATAAACAGGAGTAAATGTACCCTTTGTTATATGCACTGAAATTTTCCCACGATGCATCATAATTTTTGCCTCGCCAAGATAAAAGAAGAGAGGAAACGGAAATGTATATATAGTGAGCTGCAGCAAGGAAAGATTACATTTGAAGAGTGTATGTGACTGCATGTATGTGTCTGCCTGTGCCAGTGTGTGTTTGTATATGTGTAAGACGAAGACAGAGTCGGTTAATCAGGATTTGCGCAAGAGCGTGACTCTCTTGGGCCGACAGGTCCAGCACGTAGCGAGTAAACTCTGATTGATGCACGCGGCAAGTATATGTGCTTTTCTGCGCTAGCTGCGAACTGTTGCGCACGTTGCGCTAAAAAATAGACCGATCGAGGCTTATTCTGCATTAAACTCAATTTGAACGTAAAAGAATACAAAGTATTCGCGTTGTAGAAAAAAGTGGTTAAAAGCGGAAAAAATCGAGTCGTGTGCCGCAGAAATAATTGATGGACATTAGCTACGCATTACTAGCGACATGTGTTTTAGTTGAGTGAAATCGATAAACTTAAATTGGTAGCTACTTGTAATTTAAATGCAAAAAACTTTTTTTTGATTAAATTTATCGTAAAAAAGTTTTATGCAAAAAATCTATTTCTTTTCGATCTATTATATTTTTTGAGTACACCGAAAAAATTGTCGTTCGTTTTCCTTTTTTCTTGGCTAAAAGGTCATTTTAAATATGATTAAACGACGTTTGTCATTGATTGGAATAACTTTTAGTGCCTCTGATAAAACGAAGTCACCTATCTTATCCATACCAAAAATGATCAATTTTTGGGTTAGCCAACACAGCTCGTTGTTGGGTTAGCTGTACACATATGACAGGATTAAGCAGAGTATCAAGCAACCAATAAAGTCGGCTACTGCACCTCATGGTGGTCGTTTTTGAACTGCAAATATATATACCATATATATATATATATATATTTCATGTTTGTACATCGAGTGCTCTCCTGCATAGTCAATCGAGTGAAAAATCCAAACAAACGATATATGGTGGAAAAATGTTTTATTTGCAGATTTTTATGGTTAGCAAACAACGTGAATTCGTTCTCAAATTCGGGGTTTTCATTTAAAAAACACACGAGATACCAATTATTTTCGTCCCTGCTCTTCACGTGATTTGTTTTCAAATCCGCAACTCGCTTCAGCCAAATGACTTTTTCAACGCGCGCAAGTCAAAAAATACATTTATGATTTCCAACTTTTGCTTATTTGAATTTTAGCTTGAAATACTCTGTCTTAAATATCACGGACTTCTAAACAGATGGATCTTTATTCAGCATGGGCGACAAGTCGGTAATAATTTCGTCGAAACCTTGTGACGATAGTGACCACACATGCGGGCCTATATATACATTCAGTTCTCGGTCTTAGACCCTCTGGGATTGCTCTCGGCTTTGCCTGACTACTCGGCGTTTTTGCAAGGCACCTGTGTGAACTTTAGCGCACAGCGAGAAATTGCTCCGTTTCGCTCTTCCCAGATGGTCCCACAATGACAAAAAGATCAGTAGCTCTACACCGAATAGCAAAGGTTTTTTTTCAAGAGGACTGCTGAAGAAGAACGTTTCGTACAAGCTGTTGATGGTGCTCTAAAGTGCTGCTCAAGGGAGAAATAATTCAGTAATCGAAAATTTCTTCTGTTGTTTTTTTTTTTGTACTTATTTTCATTTTATTATTATTTATTAAATTAAATCGCTACTACATAGGCAGTGAGTATAAACAATGAAGGAAAACAATTCTTTAGCGTTCATTCAAGCGAATTAAAATTTAATTAAAAATTTCTTTTCATTGTTGCTGCAAGGTTTTTCGTCAATTACGCGCAATTAAATTTCTCAACAACTGGAACAATAAAATTTTTACGCTGCATGGCCATTCAAATTATTTCTCTTCTATCCACTTGTAAATAATAACGCATAATTACGCTTGCTATATAGACCGCGCTTATGTGGACATTTTGCAAAATGTAAAAGTCAACAGTAGCCGCGTGTATTTCCAGGTAAAAGTAATGAAGTTTTCAGTCAGAGTGATATCGTGCCTCCTGCTCTGCGCGGCGAGTATAAAAAAATCAATCTATATTTTAGCAAATAGAATCTCGGACTAAAAATGATAATATGGAATGGGGCGTCTTCGTCTTTTCAGAGTGCTGCAGCGGATTGTCGAAGAGCGAAATTGCCAATATTCGCGTCACTTTTAACGAGAGCCAAGCACTGAATCTGAGCGAATCAGTCATTTTTTTCATGAGAGACTATAGATTATTGATCAACGATGAGCTCGCGTTGGCCAAAAGCGCTTTTAATCACAATAAACCGACCAAGATCGTTACTCACGGCTGGCTAAGTAGCTCCAGCAGCTCAGTCTGCACTTCGATTCGCGATGGTGAACCATCTGCCTCCCGATTTTCTTGAAAGGGAGGAAATTTCGACGAGCTAACTCGTATTTTCTTTGCAGCTCTCGGCGAGAAAGGCGATTACAATATCATTCTGGTCGATTGGCACGAGATATCCAAGCTGGAATACACCGTGTCAGCTGGTCTGACGAAGCAAGTGGGCAAATTCGTCGGTGGAATGATCAATTTTTTAATGAGCAAAGGCAGTAGCCCCAGTGATTTCAGCCTAGTCGGTCATTCCCTCGGCGCCCACGTAATGGGTTTCGCTGGCCAAACAGCCGATCATAAAGTTGCTCACATCGTCGGTAAACAATCATCATTATAAAAGTTTCAACTGCAGAAATTCTGCTTTAACATGTCGATCGCGCAGCCGCGTTACTATTTAAATATATGTGGACGCGCAGGATTAGATCCGGCCGCTCCGGGTTTCTCGATGAACGACGCCGACGATCGTTTATCACGAGACGACGCGTCCCTCGTGGAAATCATCCACACGAACGCCGGTAATTTAGGCATACTTCAGGCCATTGGTCACATCGATTACTATCCCAACGGCGGCGGTGTCAAGCAGCCCGGCTGCGGCCTCGACCCGGACGACGTCTGCTCGCACGGCCGTTCCCACGTCTATTACGCCGAGTCGTTACGCAGATCCGATGCCTGGTGGGCGCGACGCTGCGACAGCTACGTCAACTTTTTATTCGGCAAGTGCGCCGGTAACTTGATCGTACCTTTTGCCAGCTGGCTGCCGGACTGGAGCAAGCCTCACGGCGTTTACATGCTGCGCACCGGGAAAACGGCGCCGTTCGGCCTGGGCTTGTTCGGGGCCGAGAGGGACGGCAACGAGACCGATTCCGCCAAGTCTTACTTGACTAATTCCATGAGAAAATAAAGAAAGCAAAAAATACATTAACACGTTATTAAACATGCCTTGTTTGGTAAGCGGCGGCGATCCTCATGAATAATAATTGCTGTAGGTCATGCGCAACAAATGACATCTCACTAGCGCGCAAGTTTTTCACTTAACTGAACAATTCCTTAACTCGCGAACGAGAGAGAGAGAGAGAGAGAGGAAAGAAGAACTTTTCTAACAGACGCGCGCGCGACCATGAAAATCTAAAACTTTTCATATAACTTCATTCGTCGCGCGAGCGCCGCGCATATAAGCGCGAGGCAAAAAGTACTTCGTCAAAAGAGCGAGTATAAGACCATTTCAGCGCGCAGAAGCCCATTTTGTTTAACGCCTCGGGCGTATAGCTCTGACGAAAAACTCGTCTCCGTGCGCATAATATAATCCTCGTGTGTGGCTCAACTTATATATACGTATATCGCGAGTGTAACGAATAACACAAGGAATGAAAACACAGTACAAGTCACCGCATCGTTTCTTTGATATAACCTCGCGCTGCCTCCCCTCGGCTCCCGTGGACATGAATTTTAATGCTAAACACAATGCGCAATATAATTCAAGCTTTACAGTAGCGGCGCGCGCAGCAGTTTAGAGATACCTGACAGTTATAATTTCCGTCCGAAGTTCGTTTTCCCTTCTCCCGATGCAAATATCGCTCGTGCGCGCAAGCGGCTCGTGAGCAGCGCAGCTAGCTCCGACTAAAATATGCACGACACATTTACAACGTTGCCTAGGCAAACAAAAGCTCCAGTCTCTCTCTCCCTCTCTTTAGGCAAAACTAAATGGAGCGCGCGGAAAGACGGCTACCCACAAAAGTATACGTGTACACCTGTCTTGATGTAGAAAAATACTAAATGTAAATTTTCATCGATGATATGATTATTCGCGCCCAATAAAAAAAACAGCGTTCCCGTATATGAATCGAACGCGTATTATTACCGTCGTAAATGCAGCATTCATATATTATAATGACCCGCACACGTACACGTTTTTAGCAGTTGTGTCGAGTTTTATCTGCCAGTATAAATCGCAGTTGAGATGTGGAGAGGTTCGTAGATAGAGTATAATAATGCAGCTTGGACTGGTGGGGGAGGCTGGGGCGGAAGAGAGGCTTTTGTTGTGCGCTACGTTCAGCTCTTATAATAAATTGAGTGTAAAATGAAATAACTCGGACTGCGAATATAGTCCAAGCTTCTCCCTTATCCGGTCGCGCTGCAAGCACACACACACACACACATGCACACAATTATATGCATATATTACGGCTTTTCATATATGTGCGGGTGTAAGCGACCAACAGCCGGCAATACGAGTATATATACGTTCGTATTTTCATACAAAATGACTTTGTTTTAGGGCGCAATTTTCGATTGTTGTTACCATACTGGCGAGTTTAACCTGTTCTCGCTCTCTCGAGGAGCCATATAGACCATGTATTTAACATATTCCGAATTGCCGGATTACATCGAGAAACGGCGAAGGTGAATTACGCCGTTTCTCCGCTGTACACGGTTAATTCAAGTTAAGCCGCATTCGAAAATTAGGCTTGGGCAAGAGAGAAAAGAAAAATTGTAATCTTGGATCCCGATATTCTCAAACGTTAAGAGCGCTATTAGTAAATATTTCTCCAGATTAAATAATTAGACATGGAATTAAAATTGTATCCTTAACAAGTCGGTCAAATGAGTATTGTACGCTTGAAAATGGGCGCCCTTGTCTTTTTGTCCGGTTTCTTCTTCGCTCTCTGATCGCGTGGAGCTCGAAATAGACCAAGACTTGCACAGGGTGAGCGAGAGGGCACAGCTTGAGCGGTAAATAACAATAAAAGTCTATTAATGTAGCCGTAGCCTGGGCTGCGAAAGTGCACGGCTGCGGCTCTGAATGGCGCTGCAGTCAGGCTGGCGTCCGGCCAGAAGCATTTTCGGGGCTGCGTTCCCAACATGTGTGCGCGCTCTATACGCACGGATTCCCGAGACAGTGCGCTCCGCAGCTCTTCTCTCTCTCTCTCTCTCTCGGTGCTGTACGCAATGTTGCACATGATTCACGACGAGGCTTTACGACAGCGTGTCCAGCGCGAGATTTGCATTGCGCGTTTATACTTAATGAGATGCTTCGCGTGTTTCGTCGCAAACAATTGTCTCGCGGCCGGCGTACTCGCTCCAGCGCATCAGCCCTTGTTTTCTTATCGCTTCCCCTCGACATTTCACCCGCTTGGGTCTCTAATAGTTTGCATTAGAGAGCTTTGGTTTCTTTTGAATGGCGATTTATCGAGATTAACCGTAAACGTTGCAGCTCGCCGATAAGAAAATAGCGCGCATGTTTGTGCGACCTATTTAGCAGCCATTTGAGTCGACTTCTTCCAGCTCCTACTACCCCCTTTACACCCATTTCTGTGGTTTCAGCCCTTCTTTTTCTCTTGTGCACGCGTTCTTTCAGTTTCTGTGAGCACGGTCTGATTTTTCATTTCTCTCTTACTCTGTGGATGGTAAAAAAATAAAGACTTAGGTGAAAAATATCAGGTGAGATAGAGCAGCTCGTAGCCACACGCCCACACACACACGCAAAAGAAATCTCGGAAAATTTCGCTGTAATGTTCATTCCTCAAATACCGAATTTTCGGTCTTCTCTCTTTTAAGGTTGGGTAATAGAGACTGTCAAGCTTTGAAATACCATCGTTTTTCTCTTTAAATCTCTCTCTCTCTCTCTTAGCCTTTTTTACCTTCTCTTTCTACTGTGATCACTAGTCCGCGGTTGCGTGTAGAGTATCAAAGGATGAAAGGATTTAGCCTCAGCGTATTTCGTCTGTAATCCCAACTGTTCTCGCCTTTTTTAGCCTTTAGACCCGGTTGCCAGCCAAATGCTCGGCGAGCAAGACAAGAAGTTAACTGCAGTCTAAAGTAGTCGGATGTGCATCTCGCGTACACCTAAATATTGCATCGGCAAAGCTAACGTGTGTATCTAGCCGAGCGTGAAGAAAAAAATCGTATTTATCGGCGAATTGTTTGACACTGCTACGGCGGCGACTTCACTAGGGCGTATAATGGCTATAATGTACGTTAACAGCGAGATTTTTTAATGGTTCTTTCTTTTACGCTCGTTCAACGCGCCGCTATTTCACAACTTCATCGGCTATTATTCTTTGCAATGGCCCGCTCGCGTGCTCACACTTGGATGAAAGATCGATTCGAGTTTCTGTAAAAATAGCCCGTGCGATTTTCCCTTTTTTCAACTGAACGATGCTGCGTGCATTGACAATATAATTCGCACGCTTATTGAATTCATTAATTATCGAATTGTTAATGCGCTCCTCCGGCTTCATAGCCTCTGACGATATTTATTGAATTTTCGTGCAACAAAAAGAAAACACTTCTATCGCTGTCAATCGGAAGTACAGGAAACGGATTTTCCTAGAACACCGTCAGCCACCACTATGAGATAAAATCTTGAAAAAAATTCCCGTTACCTGCGCGGGCACTGTGTGCTGGTACACTTAGTACGTGACTGGCTGAAAAATTAATGGCTCTATAGCTGAGCGTGAAAAGTTAAGGGGCCATGAATAAGCCCTGAATTTCATATAATATAAAAGCACGGAATATACTTTGATATTTCGACTGGAGCCGGTTTTAAAAGTAGATCACATCGAGGCCAAAATAGAGTGCGTCGATCGTTCGTAAACTTGATCCATTAACATTGACTTTAGCGCACTAAATGTGTACATCGTTGTGGTATATTTAAATAAGCAATCAAAGGCAAACAAGGACAAGTAAAATGTTCCTATCGTATTCTTAGTATATGTAGAGAGGTAGAGGCGACGGCTGGATAGGGAGAGACGCGTGTAAAATCGACTGTACATAATTTAGAAGGGCTGAGTGCCCCGCGAAACAGGCGCGACGAATTTCGATAGATCAGTCACACGTTGTCTTTCTTCTCTGTGCACCTGTTGCTGAATGTTGCTGCTATTGCTTGCGAAGCAGTGGGCATGCACGCGTAGCGCCAGCATATCGTTCGTTATACTGCAGGCCAGGGGGAGCTTTTACCCTGTGCTTCAACTCGTAAGTGCATTATTAAAATGCATTGGATTCAAGAGAGAGAGAGAGAGAGAGAAGAGTAAAACAGTCTCGAGGAAGTAGTGGAGGCGAGCGTATACGCCCGCTACATATACAGCCGCACGGCACAGCACCGCGTACCACGTGCTTAATGAATAATGAACGAGCTTGATTGATTTTCATTGGGTTTCGCGCGCCTTTGCTCGCTCGGTATGTGTATGTGTTCTCTCTTTCGACGAAATATCTCTCATTCTCGTTGCGCCAAGTGCTTCTCGTACTGTATATCTCTCTATCTCTCCCTCCCTCTCCATTTACGTGTATATCCTGTATAGTGCTTGCCTTTTCATTTGATTTGCTCGTCTCGGATTATTTGCCTTGTTCAATCTACTGCATAGCAATGAGTATATTCACGATCTCTATCCATTGAAACTTTTTCCTATTTTCTACAGCAATTTCGCGTAAAAGAATGTTGTTATGAGTGAAATTCGTAAGCGGATTGAAAATCACGCGCGTAAATTGTGCGCATATATAGCAAGCGCCAACAACGCAGAGATGTAATTTCGTCGTCATCGTCGTCATTTTCACTGCGCTATATGTAGCTCGTATGCATGTGTGCGTGAAAAATACTCTGATCATACCATTATCGACGAGTCCAGGCGCGTGCGTGAGTGGCTTCGTGTCCGACTGATCTAATTAAGGCTGGCTCCGTGGTAATTGAAAGGCACATCACTGCAGCGAACCACACGTACTCACACTGTCGCGCAGCGAGCGCACCGCCGCCCACGCAGCTATCTACCAGGCGTTTACGTGTGTGCGTGTATATGTTTATGTGTAACGAGGAGCTGACTGGGGCGTGCGCATGAAGGAGGAAAAGAGGAGAGCAGCCCGGCAACCTCACCCCCGTACGTGTCAAAGCTGCTGCTGCTGCTGTTGCGCTGCTGTGCGCTGCTCGTTATACTGTTGTTGTATAGCTGA